AATAATGTCATTAATCATGTCAATCATTAATAATGTTATTAATGATGTCACTAATAATGTCATATATATATATTGATATTGATGATATAATATTAATAATGTCATTATACATAATAGTCACTAATTATCATAGATCTTCGTACTGTTACATACTTTTACCATTGAATACTATTGCCATGATATTATCTCCGATACTGTTGCTATTGCTATCATCACTACATACTATTGCTACTGCTATTGTTATCACCGGTAGTATTACTGTTGCTATTGCTATCAAGGCTACCGCTGTTGCTACGGCCCAATCATCACATCTTTGGGGATGGGAAGAACCAAGGCACTGAGGAGCTATGATTCCTGGAACTCACAAAACTGAAATCTTATCCATTGTTTCATCATCCTCCATCCAAAGAGGTTTTGCTTCGACCTTTATTTTGTCTATGGCCGTTGACAATGATATGTTCAGCAGTTGCCTACTCAAGAACTGAGCCGCCCGCGTCAACAATGCCTCCTAAGGAGCATCATGTGGCAAGCGCAGAGCTCAGCCGACTGATGATCAAACAGAATTCAGTTTGTGAGTCCACGACACGAGACCTTAAAATCGAAAGCCCAATGCAATGAGTCTGCAATGAGGAACGATTCCAATAATCTATCATCTATGTCTGCCGCCAAAACATCCCTGGTGAATAGCCCCTAGGATCCTTTAAGGCATCACTTTATACGATGGGTACCTGTTAAGAGCGTATAAAATGTATCATCGGCCATATTTTTAAGTAAAAACAACCAAAACAACAGCTACATTCAGGGTATAAAATGATCGGAAAATATGTATAAAATGCCTCTTTCAGGTTCATCACTCCACCCAAGGATGACACTAAAACAAAAAAACATCAACAACCAGCTATCCGTATAAATTGCATCTTTCAGGTAAACATGTCCGCTGTATGGCGCTGCAACTTTATAACATTTCAGCCTATACATTGCTCCATCGAGGTTACCAAGTATATCAAACTCACTAAACCCAATAAACCGCACAAAAATGAATAAATTGCTTCTCTCACTCTTCATCAAGCTTAAACTATATTCAATTTATTTTTACATATTTCCACCCTGTGAACCTGTGTCCATCCCATCCCATTCACACAATTTCATGCTCTTTTTTGGCAACATTCTGCAACATGCCAAAACAACCGACTTCTTTGACATGCAACAGTCTGTTGAGTCCCAAACAAGTCTTGTAATGCACCTACGAATGCTTTGCCGAGGACAGCACGGCAATGGTAAAGTTGCTTTGCCTGTTCAAGGAAACATACCATCCACTAAAGGATGGCTCAATGGTTGATAGTAAGGCAAAACGGATACTGTAGACTCTTGCGGTTCCCTGTGTCTAAAATCCTGACACCTGGGACCTTCCAAATTGTTTCCTAAGAACCGGAAAGAACGGATGTTGTACAATGTTTCTTTCCCCCTAGCACAAATTGCTTTTGAATGGTCGTAACTTAACACTGCCATCCTGCCTTCAAAGATAGGAGCATGTGCTGGGGCACCCATGAAACGTCAACATATGTCTGATCTGTGCTCTTCCCGCCTTCCACACTCGTAGAGCAAACTCCACACCGCGTCCTTTCAATTTTGCACATTGCACCACAAAAGCTGACCGAGAAAGAGAATCGCTTGTCCAGTGTACAGTTGGAAGATCATGCGACTTGAACCTTTCATGCCACAGGCAGCCACAGGGTTTCAATGGGTTTCATACGTTTCATGCTGGAATGTCTTTGTCACATGACACTCAGATCATGGAGACCTTTCTTTGTCTTAAAGATCCTTCAAGTGTCCAAACATTGAGTATGAAACATCACCATGAGATGTTAAGAGAGAATCGCACTGGCCAACCAAGCTGCTCTGCCTCTGTTAAAACACTGCCACTGTCTTTCAGAACCTGCTGCGCGAAGCGATCCCGGGGAGTAACTAGCCACTCAAATACAGAAAGATCCATGGTTTACCTGGGAACATGATCTGCAAATGGCTTTTCCACATATGTCTTAGTTTACAGGCTAATGTGTGTTTTGGTCTGCTTGATATTGCTTGATGCTGCTTGCTTGCAAGCCAAGGGATATTTTTTTTGATTGTTTGGGGGTTTGGTAGCGACGCCCAACTGGCTGATGGTTGAGAAGAGGATCAAGTCTCAAATCCTGAACCCAAATCCATCAAGATATCCGTTCTTTATATTTGTTCTACTATGTCATATTGGTGTATGATCATTTTTCATATTTTTCCCGCTAAAAATAGGGCCATCCAACGGGGGGTCACATTTTTTGCACGAGTTTTGAAAGCAAGCCGGGCCTCTGCCCAGTGGAAAGCGCGCTGGAGCTGGCCTGCCTAGAGAGATTCATCCCCATTTTCTACTAGGGATGGTCTATACCACCCCAAAAAAAATGGTGGTTCTATCATATTCTATCCCCAGAATAGGGAAACCTAATGTGGTAAACCATGGTAAACCTAATGTGTTATACCATTTTAGGGATGATTTATTGTTGGGTTTACCAATTTAGTCGTATTTGTCGTCACTGAATTCTCTCTGGAAGGCCATGGAATGCCATGGAAGTCCGAGTGAACAGGAGACATGCAAAAGAGCTTGCCTCCCTCTTGCTCCAGAGCATATAAACTTGAACAAACATAAGATGACATGAGCAGCCGAGTCAGAGTGATAGTCAGAGGGATCCTTTGTACCAGTGTCATCTTAGCGATCTTAGGCTAATAGGATCTGGTCTAATAGACGATGCAAATAGATCAAATAGGTGAATTCGAACCCTGGCTGTCTCCTGGTGATGCCCCGCTATCACCAAGCCCCAACCGCCTTGGCACATGCTTTCACGAGGCTATTGACCGTCAGGGGGATGGTCATCTCGTCTGCAATGAGTTCGTACCAGGCCTGACGCCGTCAGGCTGGGTTGACGCTTCCAAATCCCGTGAAAGCAGCCCTGTTCTCTTGGTGGTCTGGTGCAGAATTGGAGCAAACATTCCGAACGTTTGAACATATCGTGAAAATATCTAGATCCTGTTGGATAGAATCCAATGATTCATTGATATTCCTAGATATTCCAGACATTTCCAGACCAAGAATTTCCCCTGAGGGCGGTGAATCCCATGGGAAGACCTCAGCCTCTGCCACGCGACGTTGAGCCACCAAGTCCTCACAGGGAAACCCTGATGGAAACGTACGCTTCATCTCACCGAAACCGTCATATGGGGGGGGTTCCATAAATGGGGTACCCCCATAGCTGGATGGTTTATTTCATGGAAAATCCATCTATAAATGGATGATGACTGGGGGTAGGCCCTATTTCAGGAAACCTCCATATCATTTAGCGTGATGTACAGTTGATATGTACTTTTCAGCATGACTTATCATTACTTTGAATTGTTTTCCACGATTCTCAAATTGCAGTTTTGGGCTTTCGGGGTATACCCCATTACGGATGAAAATGACAAACAATCATCAAGGGCTGGCATGCTGGACCTACATCATGGCTGCCATCGTTACCATCTTCACAGGGCTGTCCTGCACAATTTGGCTGACCACTCTTCTGTCTTGCAGCAGTTCTTCCCTGTCAGACTTTGAAGCGAACAAGCTTCAGCATTGAAGCAGGCTTCCACATAGACATTTGGTACATAACATCACTGACATGCAGGTTTAAGGGACCGCCAGCAGTTTAAAGGAAACCGTGGTATTTACATGTTTTTCTTCACCCCGAAATATAGGGTATCCGGATGTATCCGGGTATCCTGCAGATCTTCCCATCAAAAACTGGGATCGCAAGGATCCATGTCCCGCGCCACAGCTCCGCCGCTTTTTCCATGACTTGCCATAGAGCTTTTGACTCGCTCCCCTGGACGACTGAAGGGCCCTGATGAGAACCATGGGCATGTCGTTTTTTTTCAGACTGCAACGTCAGCGGGCTCATATCTTAACAGCAACAAGGTATGATTCATACACATATACATGTTCGATCACGTTCGATATCTTTTACAATGTGTATAATATACATATATATATAATTTCAATTAATTTCATCTGTACATGATACCAATCCAACGCTCAGCTTTGCAGATGAACACACATATATAAGCAAAAAATACATAGCTCAATGATGCTCAATGTATCTCATGCATACGGATGTATCAGATCAATATTGCAGCCGCTTACATCAAGCAGCCTCGGTTCCAGTCTTCCGGGGAGAAAATCTGTCTTGACCACCATGGCTGTTGGCTCTCAAAGTTCACCCAAACCAATGGGACATGAAGGGAACCTGAACGGGACTTGTATCCCATCCCCCCAATATTCATCCCCGACAGAAACCAGGGTTTGGACCATGGAATGGGAGTGTTTGATGTTATATATAGGGAGATGGGATTGATTTGGAGTCAATATGCTGGTATTCTGGGGGTTTGGACTCCGCCACTGTGGATCACTTACCACTCATCCACGTATCAATCGTTTTTGAATGTTTTTGATGATGCCTTGCGTGGCTTCTAGGATCTTCTAGGATCTTCTAGGTTCCAATCTTGTTCATGTCTTCTGATTGGGAAAACTGCAGGAATTCTCTCCTATGTACTCCGCAAACATCAACCTTATGGGTGCTGTTGACTACTACTGAACCACCAAATTGTGATGTTTGAACCCCAAAATCAGGAAAATGATGTCTGGACAGAGTACATGAACCCTGAGATCCAGCTCAAATCCACTCATGGTCGCTGGTCGCGTTGGTGGTCAGGTCAATGCAGTCAACGCAGGCCAAGGATTTTTGTCCAACATCTCGGAACAAATTCAGAAATCTTCAGACCATGTACCATACCACTTCTTCGCTTCTGGATTTCCCTTGTCCTGCAACTTGACTCTATTGACTCTTTTTGTCGGACGTCTCAGCGCCGACTGTAGGCATTGTTGTAGCCTGAAGCTTTCGCAGTCCGCCATCGGGAAGGTTCCATATGGTTCCATCCTATCGGGCCCTTTTGTTGGGATTTGGGTGTCTCCCAACCGATCAGTATCCCTTTTGTCCACATATCTTCACATCAAACTCATTGGGATATTTATGATGGATCCAACGATTCACCCATTTATGGGACAGTTCATGTTTTTTACAGGCTTCAACCCACCGTCCATCAATCCATTCGGCCGACCTTGGGTGTTTCCACCATATCCACCTGGGCCTCGACTGACGAAATTTTGTGATTGGTTTGTTAGGGAACTTCCGGAACCATCGTCACAGGAAACCATGGGACACTTATCAAACCATGTTTGCCACCAAGTCTGGGTACGCAGACATAAAAAAACAGCATTGAACTATTATTCGGAGGCTGCATCAGCCTGTTTGTCTGTTGTGTGACAAACATGGCCCAGAAGCCGCTCCCCACTACTCCCAAAAAATTGGGAAGTATTTGCAAAATTAAAAAAACAAAAACACAGAAACTGTCAAGAAGAACAATCAAGAACACTAGGTGAAAAAAGAAAATGAAGAGACAACATATGAATGAAAGAGTCCTTGATTCAAATGATCATAATCCTGAACAGCACGTATCCATACATGTCACATGGTTATCTTGAGCCTTCACAAACTTCACACCCGCATAACCTATGACCTTTCTAGAATATCTACATACCATGAACCCACCCAAGCTAAATATTTCTGCAGTTTTGAAATACCACTGGAATCATCTGCAATCATCTGCAATCGTGGCTTCCGAAATGGAGCCTTTTGGTTGATGAACACAGTGTTCATCTTGGAAATCTCAGGCCAGGACTACTTCTGCCATATCTTCCAGCGGCAGCGCCTCCTAAAGTTGGCCACCAATACTGCAGGTTCTCTCTTAGAATTGTATCAGTTTGCTGGCTTTTGCTGGAAAACTATGGACATGGTCATGGCATCGAGGTATGGTGCTCAAGATTGGGATGAACAAATGCCCAGGGCCTTCAATTTTGGTCTATATACAGTATACATATTTGCTTGTGAGTGTCCCAATTTAATAGCACATTTGTTTTCTAGTTTAGATCGCAAGCTTGCGGTTTGTCTTTGTCCCAATGTTTAATAATTCTATCAACATGGGAGAATATTGGAGAATATTGCTGGTTACAAAATACCAACCCCATTTGGATGATGAACCTTCCCGCGACATCCCATTGCTAGTCCTTGATGAATTATCATGAATTGACTTCTTATATACTTATATAAGCTTCATGCATTTTCACAAAATCGGATAATATATGATAAACTTGATCATAGTTTTATACCCATCAGATCAAGTAAATCATTACAAATCATATAACCAAGGTGATGATTTGACATGTCGGATACCACATACCCAACCGTTACACCCTCGGGGAATTACCTTGGAAAGTCGCGGCTGGGGCTGAATAGCTCGTCCTGGCGCAGGCCCAGATGTGGAACACTTGTGTTTTCTCTAAAATGATCTACAAATGGTGGGTAAACTCCACATCTATGTTGTTTTACCCCAGGGTTCCCCCGTGGGAATTGAACAATACGCATGCTACCGAAACATACCGAAACCATTTATAGATTATCTAACTTCAACATTATGATGTTTCAGCTATGTAAAATTACCGGAGGGTAAATCATAGAACTAAATTAGCCATGGTTCCATGGCTATGTTGGCTTCCTGCGGAATCTTTGTTTGGAGATTCCAAACTCTTAATGGCCTTCATGTGGCTATGGGTCAAAATTGGGTACGCAAATAATTAGATGATCAATACAATTCAATACCAGTAATAATTATATAATTCAAAACATGACTAATGTGGGTATAACAATGTCATAAACCATCCCCCATTCATCACCATTTTTATGGGTGGTATAAACCATCAAACATGGGTGGTTTATGACATTGTTATACCCACATTAGTCACATTATTCAATTACCAGAGGGTATATCAACCATATCCATAGATTACATATCCATATATTAACCATAGATTAACCATATATTCACCAAACTCTGTGGTCCTACAATTTTTGACCCATCCGACCGATGTCACTCCACGGGGCGCCTCTGAGACTTTGCTGGGAAGTTGCTCGGTGCCGGCGCTGGCATGGGCCTCTTCCTCGGCCAGACGCGAGACGCGAGACGCTGGCATCTTTGGAGAACGAAGTTTGTTTGCGGGTGTAAAACCAACGATAATGTAGATGTACCCTCTGGTAAACGTTTACATAACTATGGAAACATCCACCATTTTTACTGGGAAAACGCACTATAAATGACAATTTTCCATCGCTATACCAGAGGGTATAATTGGGCAGTATCCATCCAAAACGAAATTTCACTAGGACAAATTGGGATATTATGGGATACACACTGGGGATATCCATTTGGATATGTCTAAACATTTTTGTATTTCGCCCTTGCAGTTTTAGTAGGGAACATGATGATCGATGAGTGGTTTTGGGATAGCCACTTTTCAAACAAACCGCTGTGTCATTGGACCCCAAAATTGCATACGTCAATGTCAAACGCCGTCAATGTCAATGGATATCTGAACATAAAAAAAACACCAAAGAAGCACCCGATAGCTCTTGCTTAAACCAGACACACGTTTCCTTGCTTAGGTGTGTCATGGATCTGATTCTTACATATACTATCATATAGTTATATATATATACATACTAGTACACATATATATATATATATATCATATATCATATTCATACATGTAGATATACTATACATACTTTCATATATATATATAGATACACCACATGTTTGCATTCTTCGTTATTTCTTGAAGCATTTACCATTCACATCAATCATCCATTTACCATAACAACAAATACTATACATATATATATACACGCTATATTACATATAGAAATAAACACACATAAATAAATACATATATTGCGTATACATACGTATATATATATTTGTATATAAAACACACATACGTACATACACACATCCATACATATACATGTATGCATACATCAACTATTTTCTATAAATAATTGTGCAACCGTGGACATTATATTTAGGGAAGGGCTTGTTGTGGGCGCGGGATTTTTCAAGATTTAAGAAACGTATAGTTTTTCAAAACGAAGACTTCACTACCAAATGAAAAGTAGGTTTCTTTGAATTGAGTAATGCGTTAGGGAAACAACCTCTCAACTGAAAGAAACCAATCACTATAAAGCGAATTTCTCCTGTGAAAAAAAACACGCAGCTTCTTTAAGTCAGCTTGAAGAAACCTGTCACTCTATAGTATTGAACTCTTATTTTGGAAATTTCACTTTACAGGGGCTGCCTCCTTTGAAAAAAATATTATTTAAGGAAACACTTGAGACAACTCTTCAATGTAAAGCAACCACTCACTCTAAATTGTCGTAATTTTTGAACAAATACTTACAAATTATATAAAGACCTCTCTCTCACTCTACAGGCAGGGGTTTCTTCTTTTGAAAAAAAATCTTTAAGGAAACAGTTGGGACATCTCTGCAATTTGAAGCATACTGTCACTGAAAATTGCCGTTTTCCTATGTAAAGAAATCTGTCACTTTAAAGTGAGCCTTTCCTTTGGAAACATGCAGGTTCCCTTAGAGAAACAGTTCCTGAAGTATCTGACTCTAGTCTAAAGCGCATCATTTCTTTTACAAATACAAGCAATGCCCTCAAGGGAGCCAACCCCTTAACTTAAAGATTCCTCAATTTTAAGAAAAAAACGCTAACAAGCGCATTGCTTTTCCAACTGCAAAATCTTTTTAGGCTCTAGAGTGATTTCCTCCTTTGTATACATAATGCCATTTCCTTCAGGGAAACAGCTCCACTGTAAACTGAACCATTCATTGAAAAAGATACAAGCTCCTTGAGGGAAACAACCCCTCAACCCAAAGAAACCTATCCCTCTGTAGTGCACTCTTATTTTTAAACAAATACTTACACATTAAATAACCCTCTCACTCTACAGGGGGGCTTCTTCCTTTGAAAAAAATGTGTTCAAGGAAACAAATGGGATTAGATACTTCTTTAGTTGAAGGAGCTGTTTCTCTAAAGGACAGTGCATGTTTTCAAAGGAAACATTTACTTTGGAGTGAGAGATTTCTCTACATGGGAAAATGCAATTTAGAGTGAGGGAGTGCTTTCTATTGAAGAGATTTTTTTTAAAGAAAGAAGCCACTGTAGAGTGAAAGAATTCTTTAATATGTAAGTTTCTGTTTAAAAAGAAGAATGCACTACAGAGGGATTGGTTTCTTTGGGTTGAGGGGTTGTTTCCCTCAAGGAATTTGCATATTTTTAATGAGGAGTTCACTTTATATAGGCTGGTTTCTTTGAATTAGGGAGCTGCTTCCTTAAAGGACATGGCATTAGTTCCAAAGGAAGAGTTCAATACTATAGAGTGAGAGGTTTCTTTAAGCTGAGAGGTTGTTTCCTCTTAAGGAAGCTGCATGTTTTTTTCACAAGAGAAACCCACTTGATAGTGGCTGGTTTCTTTAAGTGGAGAGGTCGTTTTTAAAAACTTGTCACCTTGTAGTGCACTTTGCACTCTTCCTTGTGAGGAAAAATAGGGAAACCATGGGAAACCACTTCTCAACTGAAAGAAACCACAAAAAACACATCAACTCAAAGAAACTTGTCACTCTATAGTGAACTTGTCCTTTTGCACAAAATGCTTGGATTTGAGATGGGATCTGAGAATAGGTAGACCATTGCATGATGGATTGCTTAAGATTAATCTGGATTAATCCAGATTAATCCAGAAACCATCTCCGTTCGATGGGGATGGCTTCGGCTGAAGGGCAACACATTCGCTAAGAGAGGGAAGCTTTGAGTTGGCAGCCTGGCAGCGCAACGGTCTTCGCTAAGGGAGGGAAAGCATTCGCTAAAGCTTCGCTAGGGGAGGGGGGCATTCGCTAAAGGGGGGGCCCTGAACTTTCAGGGAAGAGCCTTTGCTTTGAGGGGGGGAGGGCGAACAGAACCAAAAAAACCAAAAAAACCAAAAAAAAAAAACCAAAAATTTGGCAACTACTCCAGTGATCAGACTAGTCTTGGAATCTTTGTTTTTTTTGCTTTTTTTTGGTTTTTTTTGTTTTTTTTGTTTTTTTTGTTTTTTTTAGTTTTTTTGGCACCAGGATTAATCCAGATTAATCCATAGTAATCTAGCTGCATGAAGACACATAAACAACAAATAGTCAAAAGTGATTTCATTGAGTGAATAATGCATATGTTACTATTTAGAAGGATTGTTGTGGACACGAAAAAACAGAAAACAACCAAATGAGTATGTATGATTAAGTGGGGGTATCTCTAAAAATAAACTGTTTTTCCGCGCCCACAACAAGCCTTTCTGTATATTTAATACATAATTGGGTACATCACATATACATACATAATATATAATACATGCTATACATATATATATAGCATACCTGATACCTGCAATGTATATATACCTGCAATACACATATGACTATCTGATAATATATATATATAAGTATATGTAAATTAATAAAATGTCCACCACTTTTTGATGGAACACTCCTGGACAGAGCCACTGGCAGCCACTGGGGTTTCCAGGCTGCGCATAGCTCTGACGAGGAGGAGCAGGTCGATTGGCCGCTGCCATCTGAGGTGCCACGGGCTGCGGCCGTCCTGAAACTGTGAGACGTCGTGGATCAATATCCTTTATTCTGGAAAAACAACATATAAAATACATATGAACATCATACATCATGTTATGGTGTACATATACATATATGTATATATATATAATATATTATATATATATTATTTTATATTCACATCATCTATACATATATATTTCCGGTTCTGCGTCTCCTGCACCATAGCCAAAGCCAGGACGACCCCTGCACGGGCAAGTCTAACTGCAATGATGGCTGTCGCGCTGAAAAACAATGCGGGCATAGAATGGTATGGATATGTTAGACTACCGGAGGGATCCGGAGGGTACATGAGGTAAACGTCTATGAAGCTGTGGGATCTGATCAAACATAAATATGGGTGAAATGATGTGAAATGTCCAACTTCAGCAGAAACACGTCAAGCCCATCCCGGCCCGGGTGGTGGCTGACGGAAGGATGCTGCCTCGGTGTTTGCTGCAAGAAAGGGAGCCGGTGATTGGAAAACAGAAACCATCAAACATCACCATCATCACCTAAGAAGAAAGGTATGGAGATTCAAAAGTGGGTGCCATGAGGAAACATCTCGAATACACCTCTGGTCTGCATCTTTCAACCCGCTTGTGGTTGTTTGGAAAAGTCGAGAGAACCCACAGCCAGCCGACCTGCCATTTTTGAGTTCCTGACTCCTTTGCCCGGCCCCTGCATCAAGTGACTGGATTGAACTCTGGTGAAGCGAATCCGTGGGACTTCTTGCTCTGATATCTTCCCAGAGCTTCACATTTGATCCAAATTTCCTGTCTATACATGTAAAACTCTTGGGCACTTTGCCATTTGAATCCATTTTGCTGTAAGCAGGACTATGATTCATCGACACAGGACACGCCCCACGAGAACCAGCTTCCCCAGGTTCCCCAGGTTCCCGTACTCCCTTGCCGAAGTTCGCTGGTGCCTCAGCATGGGGCACCTTCAATCCTTGATCCCTGCAGCCTGGACCAATGGGACCAATGAAACCCCCGGAGCTCAGTGCTGCACATGGCTGGCATTTCTCTGGAACTTCAAAAGTGCCGTCTCCTGTTGCCGCAACAAAGGGAAGCAATGGATCCACTCAATGGCCGGTCAATGACTGATCATCCCAAAAGAATTTCAGTATTCACCTTTGGCATACCTGCCAGCAGGGTAATTTAGACATGGACAGCAACTTTAAATGTGAATCTTGAGCATTTCCTCCTCCAAAATGTATGGACAAAAAGTGCACCCATTTTCAGCTCTGAGCTGCCCCACATCCCCGGAATCGATGCGCAAATGCCGATCCCTTCGCGCATCCTGCGTGGGATAACTCTGCGAAGTGCTCATCAGTTTTGATTGTCCAAAGGGGTCCAAAGAAGGGCATTTCCATACATGGCTTGAGTCTCCTATCGTTTGATTCTGCGAATAGTTTTTTGATGTTTTTTGTCAAGGTAACAGTTGCATACAG